TTGTTCAACTCTCGGACGCTGGCTCGTCTTCACCCAACGCTACTCGTCGCTTTATTTCTCCGTGTAAAAAGCGTCACAGGTAAACAACGACGCAAGAAACACTGTATTTCTTCAAGGAAAGTCTCAGACTGTTTGAAATTACATTGTGAAGCAAAGTCGAAGCGTCGAATTTCCATGTCGTAACTCTAACACACGCACGCACACACTGATCCTGTGTCATCGTCTTTATAGCAACGAGACTGTTTCAGAGACAACGGGAATCGTAAATTCCCCTTACGATTCGATAATCGACGCCACGAAATGATCGATCCCCTATTTCGATTAGGATAGTAGAGATAGTTCAATTAAATATGACGCTGATACAACAAGTTCTAAATCACAGTTTATTCCAACAACTTTGTGAAGAAGATAGTTACGCTGGTGCGCGTGTGTAAGTTAAGTAAGTGACTGATCTAAGGGTGGAAACCCGGTCAAAGGATGTCGACTGTTTGAAAGATGGAAAATCAGCCAAGCGAAATGATCGATCCCCTATTTCGATTAGGATAGTAGAGATAGTTCAATTAAATATGACGCTGATACAACAAGTTCTAAATCACAGTTTATTCCAACAACTTTGTGAAGAAGATAGTTACGCTGGTGCGCGTGTGTAAGTTAAGTAAGTGACTGATCTAAGGGTGGAAACCCGGTCAAAGGATGTCGACTGTTTGAAAGATGGAAAATCAGCCAAGTTCGGTAACGATGCTGTGGCGGAGGAAAGCCGAGGATGGATGTGTCCAGCGCACGGGACCATCGGATTTGTCGATGACAATTTTGGCTAGGAGAGCGAGGGAAATAGGCTTCGTTGTTAATTGCTTATTTGCTATGGTGGTGGGCGAGGAAGGATGCTAACCGCCCTCGAGATAAAGTTGCTAGTGGGAGGCCTCGTGCGTGAGAAAAGGCGACTTTCCCGCGTCAATCCGCGGTGGACGATAACCTTTAGAAAACAATTCAGTGAAAGAATATTTGTTCGGTCTGAAGGACCTTGACTAGAAAGTTCCTGAGATTTATGGAGGGTACTTGAGACCATCGAGGCTACGTAGCAAGGATCTGAAGACATCCGACTACCATCTTGCCCGCGGTGTGTGGCCTGGTTTAGGTAGAGAGTCGGCCGACGTAACAGAGACCATTTCGTTGCATCGGAACATTTCACATTTTTCTACTGTTCTCAGCATCCGAGATATCCACGTAATTTACATAATTTTCACTATAGTGTTTTTGTTTTCCTATGTCCGAGTTCGCGGCTCTTCCAACGTGCATTTCTCCTAATTACGTCGCGCCTACGCCGCTTTCCCCATTTTTTAATTAACGTTAGTTTCATACTGAATTCTCATAGTGAAAATTCGAATAAGACAAGAAATTACACTAATTACGTAGAATAATACATGGCGCGTGAACACTAATGAAACACTAATGAAACGTTCCAAGCGGAAAAGAGCATCCTTTACTCGACGAAATATTACGTCCGGATAATAGAGCGTTCGAATAATACAACGTTCGGATATTAGGCTAATGGGTGTTCGAATAAGGGAATCTCTAACGTAATTGCCGGCTCTGGTCTGCTGTAATTAAACTTGAAAATTTACTACATTCCACGTCTCATCGTGAACTATTATTTGGCAGCAAATTCAGTTGGAAAATCGAAGGACCGAAAATGGACGAAAAACTGGTTTAATCTTCGCTGTACTCTTCGTCGATTTGTTGAATTTTTTAATCGTATCGGTGCGTTAAAAATAGATGATCGATAAGTCGCTGGCTTCGCAAGACACGGTTTTGCGGATGCGTATCGTCGCTTGGTTTGCGCTGGTAATGAACATTTCAATCGACGAGTCGGTGCACCGAAGCGACGCGATTTGGCGCCATTCCAGGGCCATTAAAGCGCGTCTTATGGCCTTTTTGCCTGGCCTTGCGTCGGCTGCACTTTTGTTTGGTCGGCTGACGACAATGGGAAGATGGGAAATAATGAGAAACGTCTGGCCAGTACCCGCGACGCGTATTCGCGGCTACGTGGACGAGATCAGACGTCTGCACACCGAATTCAAAAGCTCGAGTATATTGAACGAAGGAAAAATAAAGGGACAAGAGACGAAGCGCGAAACCCTTATGCCACGCTCGTTGCCTTCAATTAAGTCGGACCTGAAGCGGATGCACCTGGACAAAAGGCCCCGGCCTTTGTTCATCTCGACGAGGCGATGTCTTCGCGCCGTTTAAAGACCTGTCGGCGATTCCAGGAAGCTTGCGTTTCGCAGAGAAACTAAATTTACCAAACTGTCGGCGGCGAAGATGGTGTCACGTAAAATTAAGGTTTAGGTTTTAAAGACAAGAAGGTAGAGCCGTAGCGCAACTTTATGTTTCTTTTCTATCGAACCTTATTAAATAACACAACTTTATAAGCACAGTTTACGCGACTGATCTGAGAGATGTCGACTGACGAGAGTTTGTAGTTTCAGTGCCGAAGTGTTCTCGTATTATTACGGAGGAAAGCTCGGTGTGGGTGTGCCCTTTGAGCTAACAACGCGGATTCGTTGTTCACACTTTTCGTTGGGAAAAGTGAGGCTAACGATCCGCGATGCTAATTGATTATAGCCCACGTTAATAAACGAAGATAGGAGGAGGAAGCCTCCTACCAACGTGGCTCGTAAGTGACACTGTTCATGGGGAAAATCAGCTTTCCCGTTAGGTAAATACACGCTTCTCCTCCGCAATTTGTACGAACATATAATAAACCTAAGGACTGTTCCAAGGACCATCCATAAACCAATAACACTTACAGGGTTTATACTTAATAAATTTAAATTTAAATTTAAACTAAGTGTAAGTTTATGGTGAGTCCTTGAGGTTATTGAGGGTACGCGGCGAGGACCTGCACACGTCTGGTCTCAGATGCGGATTGACGTGACAATGGCGAGTTTGAAAGTAATCGTTGCACGTGTCTGCTTGAAAATTTCTCAACGCTTGCTTGAGATTCGCTTCGAAATTAGAAGAATTATGATACGTATGATGGTTTAGCTTGCTCTTGCTGTCATCTCGTAGCGAGTTCATCCGCGAACGAAGGAAGAATCTGCAACAACAAGTTGCAGAGGAGCAGCTTGAACGTAGCTGCAAGTTGTATAACACTGGTATTCCAACTTCCTTGCTTGCAAGGATAAGCAAGGCCATAAATCATCTTCCAAAATATCAAGACTACTTTAATCTCCAGCTGAATACACCCGTGTCCACTAATAGTAAAGCTGTATGGCGATGTAATGATAGGAAAGAGAGAGGAGGACGAGGAAAGGGAAGTAGGTTCCATCCGGCAGTTGCTGGTGGACTCATCAGCGAAGCTTCTAGGCAGACTTGAGCTGTAGACACGGTGATAGCAGAGGTCAGGCCAGAGGATTATGCGCATTTGTATGAAAAGGATAGTTAGGCGAGGACTTTCGAGAATTGCGTTTGGTATGCAAACTCCGGCGGCGGGCGTGGAAAGCCACCATAGTTCACGTAATGCTGGAATCAATCAGAAATTCACATCCTAATGTCAGCCTCATGACTATTAAGCGCAGTCTAATAAACCTCATTTACGCGCAATTAATAGGAAAATGTAAAAAACGTAAGTTGAAGCGCTGTACAATGAAATTAATTTGGAAACGAAGCTCGAAGAGTCTGACGTACCTATTTGTTGAAGTGAATTAAATTTGAAATATCCAACGTAGCTATTTATCGCAGTTAACCGTTGGGAATTAATTTGTTATTTTTTAATTAAATTTACTAAGCTGGAAATTGCAGGAACAAGCAAGCATAATCCAAGCAAGTGGAAATTGTACGTACAACTATAATCCACGAAAGTGGATTACTTGCCTAATGGATGTTTCATGCGTTCAGAAATTCAACGTACCGCCTCCTTTCGCTTTTACAAATTTGTCAATTCTACGTTAAATAGAGCAATCTTGGTTTGCTTTCGCCTAATAAATTGACAATAAAAATACACGTTGATAACAGTTGCATAATGAACTTGGATGTTAATTTATCTTACTATTCGTAGTACTATGATGTAATATATTTAGGGGTGTGTAACGAATCTTCATTCGGACTAGCCATCGTTGTTGTACGACAGAGATTATGTTTACTGGTATAAATATGATTTTTACAGAGTTCGACAAATAACCGTGGTGATTAGACACTCGAGACGTTAACGACAATGTTCTTAGGTTCAATAACGAATCCACGGTCAACGGGCTAGCTCTTTTGAAGCACAAAGTAACGTTTGCTGTGACGCTCGGTATAATACTGCGCGTAAAAACGATGTGAAAACTCTGCAAGGTGATCGCAAGAATAAAAGACTGATGGAAACTTTCCTCTCCTTACGATCGTGTTTGTTCGTTGCATATTGGCCGAGGATACCAAGAAAATTTCAGCCGCCGTTGCTAGACAGTCCCGTTTAGCGGCGACATTGCTCCTGCCCGGGGTTTGATTGTCAATACAACGCGTGTCCCATAATTTTGGCACTTCTCTGTTAGGTAAAAACGTCCATCCCGTGACAGTGGCTACGTTCGGCGACCGGTTGTGTCACCTCGAGCCCAAGGCCACTGTCACAAATCTCGGGCAAACATAATCGGATTGAATCATAACTAAGTTTCGTTATTTGAGTACAGCTATAATAAACAGTGTATCTTCCCAAGAATTGCAAAGGGTAGGCCCCGATGTCCTTTCATCTCCGACATATACAAATATACTTACAAATAAATTTTACTTAACAAATTGAAACGTAATGAATCTCCTGCAATCTGCGTTAATTTGTCACATGCTCTACAAAGTGACGTAGGTTTCTACACTCTGACTATACGCTTAATCGTATACTTCCACACAACGTTGTGCTGATCTTCTAACATGTTAGGTCACGTTACGTTTACTGTCTGCTTTTTATATTTTCAACCGGCTATTTATCTATCGGTTAATTATAAATTCTTTACGCTGTTCTGTTGCAGATAAAGCGCCATCAGAAGCCTCTTTCAGAGGGACCGAGTATCTCACGATAAATCTGAGCAAAGGGGACCCGATCCTCAGCACGCTGGAATCAATCAGCTTGCAATTTAAAACCAGGCAACCGAATGGACTACTGTTCTATTCCGGTAAGTTCAGCGAACAAATTTCTTTCCACACAATATTTTCTATTTATTTCTCTTCAAACATCGAGCTCATCAAATGAAAAGAGGAAAGCATCTTCATACGCAGCGAACATTTCCCATGGTTAGTTCGAAACTCGTGTCATGGTCCTGATCGAGACTATCAGAATTTGTCGTTCAGGCGAGTCTCAATCGAAAATTCATCGGAATCATTCGATCGTGGCTTATTTAATGCAACGTATTGCTCGTAGAACGTAGCGGCGCCCTCGTTTTTCCATTTATCCATGAAACTGGCGAAATATTCAAAGTACGTACTTCGATGGAAAGTCGCCGCGAGCAAAGCAAAAGTCATTTTATAAAATTCGTGTAAAGCATCCTATGAATTTCGTTGGTTGCGCAGCGGAACCTCTCCTGCGGCTTTCCTATGGATTAAATATACATGAAACCAACGAAATATTCGCATCGGTCGCATTGCAGGCACTGCTTCTTACAAGCTCTCGGTCGCCGTGCGACTGAAGCCACTCGAGGTAAAAAGTAAATGTCCCTGGCGTGCTTCGTAAATTGCTTCAAAATTGCGGATGCTCCGCCCCCGTGAAATTATGTCCTGAGGAGGAGGTTCGAGTTTCCAACTACAACTGAAATCTTGTTCTGACGAAAGGCAGCTGCGTGGCTAGAAAGACGCTTTTAAAACAGCGTTCGTAGAATTTAAAATTGCCACCAGGGGTCAATGGGCTAACGATATAAGCAGCAACACGAAAGGGGAAATTTAAAGAGCCGAACAAATTTTCAGCGCAAAGTAGCGAAGATCTTTCAAAACAGAGTATTATATCGAAGTATACGCTGCGGAGGAATAAAATATAGACGAGTGGTATTTTAATATTTTCTATTTCATTATGTTCATCGTCTATTGAATTATTACGCAATCTATTTTTAATTGTTTCAATTGATTAAGTTTGTCCACGCACAAGAGAGTTCACTTACAACTAGATGAATCAGTGAAGTTGCTTGATATTTGGAATGTAGTTTTTGGTAGAATCTTCAGTACTAAAATCTACAGAATTGAAATTGCTGTCACTGATTGTTAAATTGTACATTGAATTATTACGCAATTTATTTTTCATTGTTTCAATTGATTAAGTTTGTCCACGCACAAGAGAGTTCACTTACAACTAGATGAATCAGTGAAGTTGCTTGATATTTGGAATGTAGTTTCTGGTAGAATTTTCAATAGTAAAATCTACAGAATTGAAATTTCTGTCACTGATTGTTAAATTGTACATTGAATTATTCCGCAATTTATTTTTAATTGTTTCAATTGATTGAGTTTGTCTACTTACATGCAAGTTCACTTATAATTAGGTGAATCAGTGAAGTTGCTTGAAATTTGGAATGTTTTTGGTAGAATTTTCAATACTAAAATCTACAGAATTGAAATTGCTGTCACTGATTGTTAAATCGTATTATATAAAATTGAGGGGCACAAAAATTCTAATTTTTAAGTATTGAACTATTGCCTACTGTCGATAGTTCTGATATCGCTGAAAAGTATAAGATATTTTTTATTTAGTTTTATTATATTACGCGAACGAATATAAATAATTAATATATTATTTATCATGATAGACACATAATTTCCTCTTGACAAACCCGATGTAGCTCTAGCAGTTGAATTCAGTTTTTGTGTGATCGTATTATACGTATTCATTCATGCGATGGAAATTGTAGAAACCGAGTATGTAACCGTATTTGTAATTATAATATCGCACACTGTTGTTGAACAAAATATTTCAGCTTATGTTAATTGTTATCTTCTACTTTATGACGCTACTCTAAAACAATTATTTCCATTTCAAACTCCGGAATACTATGGAAATTAATTATGTAAGATAAATATTCACGTTAACATGGGAGTAATATTGATTATATAAAATCCTGCAGACAAAATGATTTAATTTTCCTAATTTTCCATAACACAATTCTCCGATTGCATATAATTAACAATATTTTTCTAAATGACTCGTTAAATGTATTGAGTTGACAACTAAGTGGTTGCGGATATTGTCATAAGGTGGTAATGACAAAACCCGCAATCACTTTACCACGGTCAGTTACAGTCAGCGACATTTCCAGGAACCCGGTGGAACCCGATTAGCTGTTCTCTTTGTCTTGCCTTCGCGAAACACAGGATTCGCTGCAGTCAGACGCAGAGCCAGTGTCACGTAGATGCTGCAGCTAATATCCCGCTGCCGATAATTAGAGAAGCGTAGTTGGCGGTTTTCTTATTGACGTCGGTCCCAGGGGAATCCTCCTTTCTGATAACGTATCGGCCTCTGTGCCGCTCGGATTTCGTTGCAGAAGGCCGGATCCGAGTATGGCGAATGTAATATCTCACACGTGATCTTCCGTTCCTCGTTACTCGGTGTGCACACTGTAAATAGAAGCGGATAATCACAATCCCGTGAGCATCGGAGAATTGGAAGAAACAGAGATGACGATAATTGCAATTAGGGTGGAACCGGTGCGCTGCCACTTTCACGGCGGTTTGCTGCGTCGATACAGCCCTCGATTATCGAGCTTTGGAGTAGCTGCTTTCGAGGATTCAACGATACATTGTGTGGTATTACGAGCGGGGGATCTCCTTTTTTCCATTTTCTTGTTTTTCTTTTTTTTTTTTTTTCGTTGCTCGAAGGGCGAGATTGGTATTTTTGCGGTCGCTGTGTGATGGATGGCTGCAATTACAGAAATATATCGTGTTAGCGGACCGAGGTTTTTAAGATAGAACGGGCAAACGCGTGAGTGACGGCTATACTTGGCTCGCGTTCGTTTTTCATTCGCTTCCTATTATTTTCTCGTACGTTTGATTGATACGTCGAACTTTCGCCGATCGTACGCTCCATCAGAAGATTTTGCTTCTAACGTTTGCAACGATGTACATCGAGATATAATATCGTGCGATGCAACGATTAGAACGACGGAACTAGCAAGTTGCATTTCCACTTAGAGAATTTCAAACGATCGTTTCCTTGCCTGTCGATCGCCAGCGATTTTACATTTCCATGCGAACGCGATCAAAGAAATCAAAGCGAAATAGACCAATTTACTTTGGCTATTTCATCTACCATAACCTTCCTGCATTCGGCTTTCTCGTTTTCTGTACAAATACATGAAAATCCACAGTTTAATGATCGTGATTCAATGACGTAACAGGCAGAAACGGGAGGACGTAGATCTCGCTCGTAGCGCGATGTTCAGTCATAAAGATCGGCAACAGAAAACTCGTCTCGGCAGCGTGGTCTTGTGCACCGGCAAAAATGTGCATAATTTAAGCGGCTGACCACCGCTACAGCTTATCTGGGGAACAAATAAGCGACCTGGGGCCAGTACTGCGGAGAGGGACGACAGAGATGCGACGTAGCAAAGTAGAACACGCGCCGTGTGTGCAATGAATACATCTGCATATACTTGCGTACATGTGTGTATACCTACACGCGTACAGCGTTACGTACAGCGAGAGTCAAAAGTGAGTATACGCTTTACAAAAATAAAGTTCGCCTGACATTGCCTTACACACGAGTAAGCAGGTTTAATGTTCAATCTACCATTTCTTTCGCAATACGTGGCAATTTCGTGGTCTTCTTCTCTGTGACTCGCACGAGGTAGCCTGGCGCCCATGTGTTCGGTTTGAGGATCACTGTGCGCCCCGCTGCTTAGGCCGACCTCCTTTCGCTCGTGTAAGGAGGTCTGCTCGCGTGCAGGCGTATTTTCGTCGCTGTTTAATCGCCAATAACTAAAGAACAAAGCCGAAAACGCGATTTTTGTATTCTTGATTTTCGTTCTATTTTGGCTTCAAGAATCAGCCCTTAAATTTTCTGACACCTGTATTGTCAAACACCCTGTATATAACAAGCCTATTTCTATCGTAATCTGCATACTTCTCACACGTGTAATACGTACGCACTTTATGCTTGTTCATTTTTCAATTTACACAACCACAGGTGTAAGAGTTTTTGAATAAATTCCATGGCTTTGAGGCGCGTATATACTCGCAACTGACTCTCGCTATGCGAAATCAAGCAGATTCGAGCGTACTTGACAAGAACGTGGAAACTCGATTCTCTGGGAAACGAGGTTCCCGAACAATAAAATGTTATTTTCCATTTTCTACTTATTTTGGCGCGCACAGCCGAGCCCCGCGTACCTGGCTGACCGCGTTACGCCCAACGACCTGTAGACGCGCGTGTTACAGCATTGCGGAACGTACTCGCGCGAACGCTAGCGTATAGATTTCGAGTTCACGATGCCGCAGCCTCCTCCTTCTCTCTTTCGCCCTGATTTCACCTACGATGCAGCTGCACCAGATACTACGTTTCGCTGGTCGCGATACTTATCGGCCAATTCTACTTCTGCTGAATATCTCGCGCGTTAATCTGCCCTCGCCAGGGATATCGTGCGCGTTATCCCGTGAAACGGGTGACTAATTTAGCGCGCGCCACGATTATCATAACGAGAGTGCAGGAAGGTTTTAAAGCGCCACTTTTATCGCTTTTACTTCCTACGGCCGGAGAGTGTGTTTTTCGGGCTTAAAGGCCAGGCTGATGGAAGGGTTGATTTATTTTTGAGATGCGGCAAAACGGGCTTGCTTTGCACAAGGATGTGCAACGAGGCAGAACGTGTGGGTGTTAAGATGTTTGTGTTGGGCTTTATACGTCGAGGTTTCTCACATAGATCAACGTACCTTAGGCTTGGAAAAGTTGGCAAGATTATGCAAAATATTATTATTAGAAATTTATCAAAGCCTGGCAATTTATGTGAGAAAATTAGGATTCCCGAAAGATTATAATATCAAACTTATAAAATTTCAACAAATTACGAAACTATGTTTCTCGCGAAATCTTCTTTCAGATATCGTTTTTCATAGCTGGCGTAGTTACGCGAATGGCACACATACGAGCATTGTACACCGAATGTACGTGCATGCAACTTTCTCACCGACAATAATTTCCAATTCTGCAAGTGGCAAACATAGCTACGTAGTATACAATTTAATTTCAGCCCGCTGTATAAACATTTTGTCCTAAGAACATGACAGCGTTACGTTCTGCAACGAGATAAAGCGAAATGGCAAGACACAGAGTGGAGAAATATTCAACGGCCGATTTGGTTTATTCGAAAGAAATATCGTGCTATTGTAAGGCGATTCTTTTTCATTTTCATACGCCGTTCGGAATGCAGTTCTCCATGTTTAGCTCCATCTTCATTCACGTCTCATAAAACACAAGCTGTTTCATAAATTTATATTTATAAAAGCTTTTTTGTTCAAACAGCCAATGGACGCAATCGCGCTTCCTGCCCAGCCGGTAATTAACAAATTTCTATTTTTATTAGCTGTTAATGTTTCATACCGACATCGATGATTTCTCTTCCGTTATCTCATCTTATTTTCAAATTCCCGCCGATAAGCATTTGCCAATGAATTTACCGTTCTCTACACTTCTGCCATTTCAGTCTCGTTGTCTGTGTCTTTACAATACAGCGACAACACGTTTTTTTTTTTACATTGTTTCGCATTTCAACGCTTCAACGTAACAGCCTATTTCTATTGGACTGGCAACTAAGTAACTGCGGATTTTATCATAAGATGGTAATGGCAAAATCCGCGATCACTTAGTTGCCAACTCGATATTTACAGTATAAACATTTTTGCTATTTTCAATACATATTTCTGAATATTTATACTATGTTACGGAATAGCGAAGCTACAAGTTTGATAGAAAATAGATACGGTGAGATGTTCTACAGGGAATAATGTTACAACAGGTAGTTTTTATTAATAAAACTAGGATGCTGCAACAGGTACTATATCATATTATTGAAATATACAGGGTGGTTGGTAACTGGTGGTACAAGCGGAAAGGGGACGATTCTACGTGAAAAAAGAAGTGGAAAATATAGAATAAAAATTTTTCGTTTGAGGCTTTGTTTTCGAGAAAATCGACTTTGAATTTTCGGTCGGTACGCGTGCACTTTATCACTTCTCATTATAACAGATCTCACTGTAGATCGTTGTTTCGATGGAAAAATTTAAAAAAGAAATTTTTATTCTGTATATCATAGCATATTTCAATCTGTTGTAACTTGCAAAATTTAAAAATTTGAAAATTTAAAAATTTGAAAATTTAAAAATTTGAAAATTTAAAAATTTGAAAATTTAAAAATTTGAAAATTTAAAAATTTGAAAATTTAAAAATTTGAAAATTTAAAAATTTGAAAATTTAAAAATTTGAAAATTTAAAAATTTGAAAATTTAAAAATTTGAAAATTTAAAAATTTGAAAATTTAAAAATTTGAAAATTTAAAAATTTGAAAATTTAAAAATTTGAAAATTTAAAAATTTGAAAATTTAAAAATTTGAAAATTTAAAAATTTGAAAATTTAAAAATTTGAAAATTTAAAAATTTGAAAATTTAAAAATTTGAAAATTTAAAAATTTGAAAATTTAAAAATTTGAAAATTTAAAAATTTGAAAATTTAAAAATTTGAAAATTTAAAAATTTGAAAATTTAAAAATTTGAAAATTTAAAAATTTGAAAATTTAAAAATTTGAAAATTTAAAAATTTGAAAATTTAAAAATTTGAAAATTTAAAAATTTGAAAATTTAAAAATTTGAAAATTTAAAAATTTGAAAATTTAAAAATTTAAAAATTTAAAAATTCAAAAATTTAAAAATTTAAAAAACAACGACAATCGAGACAACGATCTACAGTGAGATCCGTTATAACGAGACGCGATAAAGTGCACGCGTACCGAGCGAAAATTCAAAGTCGATTTTCTCGAAAACAAAGCCTCGAGCGAAAAATTGTTATTCTATATTTTCCACTTCTTTTTTCGCGTAGAATCACCCCCTTTCCGCTTGTATCACCAGTTACCAGCCACCCTGTATAATTTTAATTCAAAGATTTTTAACAACTCGTGCAACTAAGTGTAATAAAGTTTACGCCATTGCTAGGCAAATTTTATGCACAATACTAAGTTCGTAGTGCTTGAATGTAATATACACGAAAGGAACAAATAATCAAGTTAAAAGTTTCAACCACTTTGGACTTCGATATGAAGTTCCACGAAGAACTAATTGTATTAAAGGAGAGTTGCGAAGAATAAACGCATGAAGGATGGTTTTCGCAAGTAAAATTAAATGGAATTCCCATTTCCGTTTGTTTATTTCCTGCGATATATCTTCCCTTTTATTTAATATTTATTCGATTTGCCAACATTTGCAACTCTATCAACTGTTTATTTTTAATCGTCAGTTCCATCAACTAACTACGATAACTCAATTTATTATTTTCATAGATAACACGATATTTGTAAGAAAAGAAAGAAAAATAAAAAATCGTATAGTTGATAATTATTTGGAAAAATGGTAGGACGATTGGCGAAAGTCAACGCTCAATGTCCAATTCTATTTGTTTGAATCGATCGATTTACGCGAATAGAAGATGATTTAACACAGATTTTTGCCTGAATTATAAAACATCGTACGCTTAATTGACTTTTAAACGCCTCGGGATATCCGAAATGTATAACAATGCTATCGCAAAATATCAGAAACTATCGGCAATTACCGTGTGCATAAATATATCACATAATCCTTAATTGTTGCGTTCATTGTAGCAGATTTATCTGGTCTTCTAATTTAGAATCAAACTACGTTATTATACTAAGCTACGGCGTTCAGTTGCATGTCCAACTTTACAGCGATATCATCTTTTTGCAACTATATACAACTCCATTACCCGGAACAAAGTATTTCGCAGAATGTGCACACTGCGCAGAGTTACGTCCACGGAGAAACTCAATTGCACGACAACAGATTTACGCGAGAGAACGAGGCAAACCTCGTGGAATTTCGAACTGTAATAAAATATAACAAACCGACGAAATGCGTAAAGTATCTCTTATCTTACCTGGCTCGTGTATTATCTCGTAAATTTGCGATTAAAAAATTGTTTCCGAAAGTATAATAACGCGAACGATGAGCTAACATAATACGCACGAACTGCACGCGAGTTTTTATTTTGTATATATTGTTTTTTTTTCTTTTTAATAAAATATATAACAATATTTACCGGAATACAAGGCAAACATAATACTAAATTTCATTCATATTACTTTTTACTCAAATTTCCAGTTTCCATGGTAAATGGTAATTTATTATTTTTCATTTTTTTTTTTTTTCATATTTATTCAAGTTTTGGATAGCTGCGTAGCTAACTGGTTCATCTCGATATTATCAGCTCGAGGTAAAATTTTCATAAACGCGCGTGCTATCGTGTTGGCAACGAGTTAGATATAAGCAAAAATATAAATAATAAATAAAAATACTGAGAAATATATCAGAGAAATATAGGCGCGTAGGAGAAGCAAAGAAATGTTGGCAACTAAGTGGTATTGGGTTGGCAACTAAGTGATTGCGGGTTTTGCCATTACCATCTTATGACAAAATCCGCAGTCACTTAGTTGCCAACCCAATATATTGTACCATTTTATTTAATTTTTGTCAGTGAACGTTTTAAACCTTAGTAGATATTTTTGTACCTTTATGGGTTATTCACAATTGTTTGCTTCGAGTTGTTCAACTTTGGAACATTCTGCTTCAATTTATTGGGTTGGCAACTAAGTGATTGCGGGTTTTGCCATTACCATCTTATGACAAAACCCGCAATCACATAGTTACCAACCCAATATATTGTACCATTTTATTTAATTTTTGTCAGTGAACGTTTTAAACCTTAGTAGATATTTTTGTACCTTTATGGGTTATTCACAATTGTTTGCTTCGAGTTGTTCAACTTTGGAACATTCTGCTTCAATTTATTGGCTTGGCAACTAAGTGACTGCGGGTTTTGCCATTACCATCTTATGACAAAATCCGCAGTCACTTAGTTGCCAACCCAATATATTGTACAATTTTATTTCATTTTTGTCGTTGAACGTTTTAAATCTCAAGGGATATTTTTGTACCTTTATGGGTTATTCACAATCGTTTACTTTGAGTTGTTCAACTTTGGAACATTCTGCTTCAATTTATTGGGTTGGCAACTAAGTGATTGCGGGTTTTGCCATTACCATCTTATGACAAAACCCGCAATCACATAGTTACCAACCCAATATATTGTACCATTTTATTTAATTTTTGTCAGTGAATGTTTTAAACCTTAGTAGATATTTTTGTACCTTTATGGGTTATTCACAATCGTTTACTTTGATTTGTTCAACTTTGGAACATTCTGTTTCAATTTATTGAATTGGCAACTAAGTGACTGCGGGTTTTGCCATTACCATCTTATGACAAAATCCGCAATCACTTAGCTGCCAACGCGATATAATCGCGGCTATCGTTTCTCAGCTTCGACGCTTGCCAGTTTCGAAATTGCTGCGAGACATCAGGGTAACTCGTTATCTCGCTCGTTGCCGAGCATCTTGGCTCCTCTGGGCCGCGAACGGAAGGCTTGTTTTACCTTGGCACAGCTAGAGACTGCGATGCACGCGTGATGCAGTTAGGCGTATGCAAATGGCCGGCTGCAATTAAGTCTACGGTGCAGCCTGCATTTTTTACACGCCTTAACTCCGGAATAATTAGCGTGCGGTCACGGTTTAAATGCAAATACCTCGGCGGCAGGAGACTTTCAGAAATGGCCGCGCTACGTTTGGTAAAAATGGCACTCCGAGGATGTGTGTCATAAACCGTAACAAATGATTTTTTTTTCTTCCTCTGTAAGACGAAGTGGTGACCAAGCAATAAACAAATAAATCGATTGTAGGAAAATGGCAAATTTACGTGAAAATATCGCAATTCGAATTTCTGACAGGTGTCAAAAACGACGCGAATGTTTCCAGCCGCTGTTGGTTTACATTCGTAAGCCTTCGTTGCTTCAAATTAAATTAATTAATGTAGAAACGATTAGAATAGAATGAAAATATTATTCTAAATTATTACGACGCAAATCTGCCTCACTGCACTCGGTCTGCGTTACCATTTAATCGTCGTTTCCGAGATTTTCAATTATTCTACGTATTATAGCGTAGGACCATCAATGTTTCGCTAATTAACATTCGCTCAAAATATTCTCCCATTTGCTTATAGTTGTTTGTACACGAGAATTCGTAAATCAAAATTAATAAATTAGATATGCAAATAAATGAATAAATAACGATACGACACTTTATTACCGTGCTGTACAAAATTAATATGACAGTGTTGCGACTATTTTCCATTAAAAATACTCAGCTGATTTTCCTACGGAAATATCTAATTTAGTTTGATAAATGTTTAGTAGGTTGAATAACGTGTTTGTA